GAATCCTAAAATCCATTCTTCAGAATCATTGTTTCTGAGTTTAACTGCAATTATTTTTTCACATCAAACTCATTTAGGACACCCTAACTGTATCTCTAAGTTAGCAGGAATGGAAAAAAGGTTGAGTATCATCAACAAACTAGTGCCATCTAACTTCAAATCTATAAATGCCCTTTCTCAAAAAGCTCATATTGATATTAAATAATAGAATAGTATTATGTCCAGGGAATGAAATAGATGTGCAACCAGAAGGATAGGAGCCAAGTCATTCCAAAGAGGACTTCCCAACCCCCCTTTGTTCTCTCTCAAGTGCTCCAACAAGTAACCATGGTCATTGACATCTGTCTAGCTGTTATTCGGACATTAAAACTTGCTTTCTTTCAAAAGATGTTTTAGAATATAACAGGCTATAGATTCAGCCTGTTATTAGGATCAGGACAAAGTAGCCCATTACGTACAAAAGAGGAGTCTTCCCAGCTTGATATTTTCCAGCTATAGTAGATGTAATTTCCCAGAATGCCAAGAAAGCATTTCTTATTGTTTATTATTACCTCAGCACTTGCTGCAGTTTGTCTGAACTTGGAAATTAAGAAAAGCTAGTTAGTACAAGGATGGGAAACCATAGCAAACTCCAAGATTGTGGACAAGATAGGGAAGGCAACAAGAAGACTTCTAAGAAAACTATATAGATGAATTAATGTTGTCCTTGGTGGGATGTCTTATCTTTTTAATGGGCTCATATAGTAAGCTTCACTAGCTAGAGGGCTTACTGTTCTATTTTGTAACTTGTTTTGATGCCAATCGTTCACTGGAAAGATGTCTAAAGAGTGCAGACCATTTTGAAGGAAGCCAATAGAAATCCATAGCCAAAGGAAGAAATCTTTTTTTTTTTTAATTTGATTTATATGTCGCCCTTCTCCGGAGACTCAGGGCGGCTTACAGTGCATTAAGCAATAGCCTTCGTCCTTTTGTATATTTATACAAAGTCAGCTTATTGCCCCCACAAACTGGGTCCTCAATTTACCTACCTTAGAAAGGATGGAAGGCTGAGTCAACCTTGAGCCTGGCGAGATTCGAACCTGCAGTAAATGCAGGCAGCTGGTTTTAATAACAGGGTGTTTTAGACCACTGTACTACCAAGGCTCTTATTTTGGTGATATTCTAGTAGGGATTTAAGCCCATCTCCCATTGTTGTTTAGGCAATAGCGGGAAGAAGATGTATATCCAGAAGTAAATAAAAAGATTTTGGACTCTCTCATTCCCCAGCTATTGTCTTGATAGAAAGAAAATATGATCACTTGTGAATTATCTTTTGTGCCCACTCAGCCAACGTAAACCTAATAAGATTTTGAAAATGTCAGTTGTCTATTCCACCCCACCCCCAAAGACAGCTCTAAGGTTAAAAAGGAATATTTAAAAAAGGAAATAGCTACTGGAAATCCACTCCAAAACATCTGAAAATGCCCCCTGTGCAAAAATAACAAACATATCTTTTGTGTTGCAGTGGAGTTTGAACTGAACAGCCTTGGCATTAGGCAAGATTTTCTGTGCTTTATTTAGCACATTGTACGGTACGTGTATATCATGTTCTCAGTGTGCCAGGACTCAGAACTGAATTTAATGGCAGTTGCTGAGAATAAAATCCACAAATCATTGAAAGCTAATTTACTGGCGTTTGACCAACTGATGGCTCTGTCCTCTGGATAGAGTATTCTTTGGTTTTCCTCCAGTTCACTTCAGTAGGGATGAAGAGCCACAACTAAATCATGAGGGATGTTGAACGGGTGTCATTTCTGATGTACTGGATCCTTTCAAGATTACCTCAAAAAGAGCCTTGATAGTACAGTGGTCTGAGCACCCTGTTATTAACACAGCTGCCTGCAATTTACTGCTGGTTCGAATCTCTCCAAGGCTCAAGGTTGACTCAGCCTTCCATCCTTTCTAAGGTAGGTGAAATGAGGACCCAGTTTATGGGGGCAATAAGCTGACTTTGTATAAATATACAAAAGTATGAAGGCTATTGTTAATGCATTGTAAACCGCCCTGAGTCTCCGGAGAAGGGCGGCATATAAATCAAATTAAAAACAAAACAAAACATGGCCATCATTATTTGATTGATCTCTGGAAGTGTGTTAGAAATGGCCTTGCCTGTCAGCATGCATAGATAGAAATTAGTGGTTTAATTATGAAAATCCAAGTTCTCACTGCAAATTGATCCAGTAATGTTAAACAAGGGTACTCAACACATTGGCTTTGAAATTGTATTTGATAAATGCACTCAAGAACAAGTCCTACTGAATTTTGTTGCTGTGGCAGTAGGAGAACAAGTGGTTGGTGTGGGATTCTAAGCATCTTCTGCTTGCAATTAATAGCACAGCACCAGCCAGTCAGCAGCTACACTTACAATTGGCTTATTTGCAAGTGCTGATGGTGAGACTTTCCTTTTGATCAGGGTCAGCTTTATATAGTCTGGAACACTGGTGTGTTAAGTAAATGCGTTTAAGACTCTCCAATGAGTGCTGAGAGGTCAGAAAGTCGCATGGCCGTCAATGGTGCACATGGTCCATAGCCACCTGATCTGGTATACTACTTCAGGATGGGGCAGTCCTACAAAGTGACATAATAATTAATATAATATAATATAATATAATATAATTAATAATATAATATAATAATATAATATAATATAATATAATATAATATAAACATCTTAATAGAGAAAAGATACCGCTATGATTTGTGTGGGCATTTTGGAAGCTGAGGACTCTTAAAACTCCCACCCCTAGAAGATGAGGATTGATTTGGTGCCATCATAATTTATCACCTTCATGCATAAAAGTGTGTGGCAGCCTTCAATTATACCTCCTCTCTTCTCAAAATATATCACATGTCTCCTCTAGTTAGACATGACCCCATATATATATATTTTCAGTTGGCAGATGGTTCTTTGTTTTCTATAGCTGTTGTTCAAGCCTGTTTTACATAACAGCTTATCAGAGTATCATCTTTTTGAAAGCTAGAAATGAAGGGGTAACTAAAGAAGGCCTAGAATTGCTCCAATTCCTTTTCTGCTTTCCAGTCCTACTATGGAATCTCTGTAGCTACTGGGCTAATCAAATAACATTTCCCTGTGGATCTACTGGCACTAAGTGACATGGCCTTTGGATTAAACTCCAAAAGAGATCATGAGCTGTATTATTATGGTCCATGGTAGCATCAAGTCAAAGATATAGTTGTTTGATACATCCATTCATTCTGAAGGAGATAGTGTTTCTAATGACCGTATTGACACTTCTGTGCCTCAGGTGTCAGCTTTCATTTGAGTTGTGAATGAGTATCAAAATAAAATTTTTGACTTACTTTATCATCTGTGCAAATGGAATAAATTTTGACTTGTGAAAGAGCTCCTAGGCGTTTGCAAAGTGTCAAGAAATCTTCGTTGCCTCTGTATGAGTTTTTTTTAATTTGATGTTTTAATTTATTTCCTTCTGATTTTCAGTAGTATTACATTTTCCTTTGTTTACATTCTACAACTGCCTTCTCATGGGTTTTCCCCCTTTATATAAAAATGACCTAGTTTGAGTTAATTACTGCCCTATCTGCTATTGCAAAGTTTAATTTATGACTGAAATTGTACTTTATTCTGATCAGGATTGGGTTGCTCTTGAAACCACCACTCCTCACCAGTTTGTGGCTTTTGGACCAGTGCAGGTTTGCTGATGAAAATTGGTAGATTCCCCCCGCCCCCCTGTATTTTAATGTGATTCTATTGTGCTTGTTCTAAATGTTTATATATAATTTAACACCTTGGAAGCAATCTGTTTCAAATTATTTGGGGCTCAAGGGATTATTATCTAGATTCACCCCATTTTTGTTGACTTCATTCACTTTTTAGACATGGCCTCATCACCTTTTCAGTGTAGCCTCCATCATGACACAGAACAGCCCTTGCCTGGAAAAAAAAGTTGTCCACCTTCATCTAGACCAGGGATCTTTCTTTTTTAAGGGAAATCTTTCCATATTGATTGAAGCCTGTTGAAGAACCTCAACACAATGCTTAGGTTGGTGGGACAAGCCCCAAATTCAAATGGGACATTCATCAGCTTACAAGGCACCCAACATTCTCCCAGCTGTAGTAGCCAGAGCTTATGTTAGCCCCTTGTTCTATTCCCACATGCTTTTCAAAGTCTTCTATTCATATCACATCCAGCCTAACTGGCCTGCTGTTAATGTAATGACACAGTGGGGAAAATTTCTCTCAATGTCAGCCTGTTGTTTTTGATGCATGGCTGCTACTAGCATCCAATTCCAAGTGGGTTGCCAGCAGCAGACTAGATATAACTGGATGAGCCAACAGGACATGTTACGATGGAGAGAGAAAAAGGGACATTCCAGGTAACAATTAGTTTGACAGCATGTTGCCACACTTATTGGTGATCTATCACATTCTATAATTACCTTTTTCTGTCTCAGGTTATACTCCCAGCTCTGGGATAGTTCATTCAGATAAAGTGGCCTTGAGTCTTGGCTTAGGGCTTTTTGATTTTATATGAGTTCTTTACTGTATCTGCCCTTGTTTTAATGTTTTTTTATTTATGTATTTAATTGCATTTGTAATCTGGAGCAATCAATTGGACGGGCAACACTTCAGACTCTTCGTGGCCTAATAACTGGATTGTAGAAACTACATAATAATTAAGTAAAATGCTCTATGACATGTCGAAGGAAGGTTTCTTCTTTATGTCTTGGATTTTCAGCTTCTTATGTGCCAACTGTCTGGGATAACAAGATTCAGACTACCACTAGTTGGCAATTAAGAGATTCTTGGGGGGGGGTATGGATCTACATCTTGGCTGACATTTTGTGATTGTAGCCTTATCTTATTAGGAGTATGATTAGGAGTATCTGCTCAAAGTGACTATAAGAGTTGATGTAGTTTTGTAGTTCCACAGAGGTGAAGAGTTTGCAGTTAGTGATGATGGATGTCTTTATCCATGCAGGAATTCTCTGGTGCCCCATCGTACCCTGATGCTTTGGAGAATGAGCACCTGTGGCAGGAAAGCGCTGACTCTGCTCAGCAGTGTCTTTGCTGTGAGTGGATTGGGATTTCTGGGGATTGCAGTGAGCACCGACTATTGGTTGTATCTGGAGGAAGGGATCATCCTGCCCCAAAACCAAAGTACCGAAATCAAGATGTCTCTGCATTCTGGCCTCTGGAGGGTTTGCTTTTTGGCAGGTATGGTGCTTTGGGCAAAAGTAAATCTGGTTTTCCTCATGCTTCATGCCTCATGCTTCATGCCTTAAAAGTATTGAAAGGATTAGGAAATTCCATCAATGTTCCCCTACGATTTAATTTATATGAATGGTTATGAAATATTTCTCTTTTTTTAATGCATGTCCACATTACTTCGTTGTTTTTATTTTCAGTATTTTAAGGGGGAGGGAATGGCTAGCTTATTTTAAAGATGGAACCCGCTCTATTAAATGGTTTGGAACGAATTAAATCTGACACCCAATGTAGATGTACATAGATGCAGACAGAATCATTATTTGAATGCAAATCTACCTGTTCAAAAAACCCATCCAGAAATGTCTATAGGTAATTTGTGACCATAGTTGAGCCCAAATTTTTTGTTGCCGAGCAAGACAGTTATTAAGTGAGTTTTGCCCCATGTTATGACCTTTCTTATCACTGTTAAATGAATCACTGCAGTTAAGTTAGTAACATAGTTGTTAAGCAAATTTGGCTTCCTCAAAGATTATGTTCGTCAGGAGGTCACATGATCCCAAGACACTAATCATAAATACATATCAGTTACCAAGCGTCCGGATTTTGATCTCATGACCATGGAGATGTACAACCAAGTGTGAAAAATGATAATAAATCGCTTTTTTCAGTGCTGTTGTAATTTTGAACAGTCACTAAATGAATGATTGTGGAGTGGTACCATGGCCTAGAGATGGAGCTTTCGTCTCACAATCAGGAGGCTGTGAGTTTGATCCTAGGTAGAGGCAGATATTTCTCTCTCTGCTGAACAAAAACTCTGCATTGGCGACAGGAAGGGCATCCGGCCATTAAACACTCTCCCAGCTCCATTCAGTTGCCCAGACTCCACTCCACAAGGGATTATGGGATCGTTAAAAGATTATGATGATGATGATGATGACTAAATGAATGATTGTAAATTGAGGAGTATTTCTAGTTAAGAGAAAGAGGAGGGAACAACTCCTAATAAGAACACCAGGACCAGGACCACATTCCTGTGTAATGAGTTCTCAATTTTCTCTAGACCTTTGCTATCTTAAAGAGTGCCAGTTCGATAATGAATGGTAGGGATACCACACTCCAGACTCAATGAGTTGCCTAGCTAGGTGAATGGCATTCAGGATCCTTTCAAGAGCTAATTGTCCATAGTCGATCCAGAAACCCAAGAAGAACAAGAAAGTGATGCCCTGCCTTGCATTTATTATCTGTCATTAGAAAGATGAAACAATAATAAATGTCAAAGTCCCAGAACTAACATGAATCAGAAAAATGTCTAAGTACATACAAATCATCTTCTTTTGCTCATGATGCTTTGCAAACCCTGTGTTTAAGTGGCATATTTTTGGAGACATGATATGAGCAGTTAGCACTTGGGCGGATGTGTGAATTGCTTTTTAAAAGTAAGGAGCAGATTTAGGGGGTTTATTTGGATTAGAGAGTTTAATTATTTTGCTTCCTCTAGAGTTCTGATGTGGACAGGAGGTTCATGCCTGCATTTGGCACTCTAAGGAAAGCTCTGGTTGGGACCACTGTAGTTTACTTCAGAGTAAGTAAAGGCCTCCTATGCTTAGAACATAGAACATAGAATAATAGGGTTGGAAGGGAGAATAATACGGCTTGAAGTTTTCCTAGTCCAACCCCCTACTTGAGCAGCCATTCTGAACAAGTGGCTGTCCAGTTTCTTCTGAAAATCTCCAGTGATGGAGCACCCACAACTTCTGAAGGCAATCTGTTCCACTGGTTAACTGATCTCACAGTCAAATTTCTCCTTAGTTCTAGGTTGGATCTCTCTCTGATAAGTTTCTATTGGTTGCTTCTTGTCCTACCTTCGGGTACTTTGAGGTCCATTCCCTCTTCTCTGTGACAGCCCCTCAAATACTGGAAGACCACTGTCATATCTCCCATAGTCCTCTTTGTTAGACCAGACGTACCCAGTTATCTCAATCATTCATTAACTGTGTAGCTTTCACTCTTTTTTGTTCTTTCTTTTATTCTCTAGGAGAACCCCTATCCCACAATCCCTTACAAACCACTAAATCCATCTAGATTCTCTATATTTGCTATTTACTCATGCCATTTTTACAGTTGTTTGCATGGACTAGCCTGAAATCTTTGGAAATTTAGGAACTCATTGGGGAAGAGAACAATTGATTCAAAACCTGTAAAGCTATTGGTTTTCAATAAAGTTTTTGGGTGTGAAAGAAAGCAATGCATTTTTCTAAGATTTCTCCTCTTGCAGGTGAAGAACATGGGAGGTGTTTCACAATAGAGTATGTCATGCCCATGAATGTCCAGCTGACCTCTGAATCAACTATCAATGTTTTAAGTAGGTGCTTCCTGTTTTCTGAGTCGGGGAAGATTTATGTGTCCTTATATAGAAAAGGAGGGACTTTTTATATAGAAAAAGAGGGATGCGGTGGCTCAGTGGCTAAGACGCTGAGCTTGTCAATCAAAAGGTTGGCAGTTCAGCGGTTCGAATCCCTAGTGCCATGTAACGGGGTGAGCTCCTGTTACTTGTCCCAGCTTCTGCCAACCTAGCGGTTTGAAAGCACTCTATTAGGTAACTCTATTGTAGCTTGCGAAGAGAAGAAAAAGAGAAGGCTTCACTGCTGTCCTTGCTATCTCATTCCACTGGGCCACTGTTGATTTCCAAGTACTGTTGCTGTGATCTGATAATTGTTCAAGCAGCAAACCAATAGGTTACGTATTTCAAATAAGAGCTAATGCATTAAGAGCAATGCTGCCAGGCATTCTCCTAGTGTCCATGGCAACAATGCCATCATTCATCAAGGATGGTACCAATCACCAGAAACAGTTTGGAAAGAGAATCCAAGCAATGGATAATGTGGACAGAACATGCAATGTCATCCTAGTCAACTTATCATGCAAGTAACAAGCCCAAAGTAGGCAACCTGTAAGCCTGTAACCAGCGCATTGTAAGTCGCCCTGAGTCTCCGGAGAAGGGCGGCATATAAATAAATTTAAAAAAAAACCTCATGACTTGTAGATGTTTTGGATTGCAAACCCCACCATCCCTGACCACTGAAGGAGCTGATATCCAAAACATCTAGAAGAAATCAGATTGCCTTGACAAAAATCATACCATTGGACAACCCAGAGTTCAGATGAAAGTGATACTGATAGCTTTTCCTTTCAAATCCTTCTCCATTCCACAAAAGAAGAAAGGCAAATGGAAAGGAAGGAAACCTCCCTATCACAAATTTGGTTACGAAAATTTAAAAAGGAGGCCTATGAATGAAACCAAAATGTCCTGTGGGTGAAGGGCCCACCTTCATGGATGGAAAGCTGCCATTGTGACTTAATATAAGGAGATGTACAGTAATCCATGAAGGTATCATTTGCCTCATTCAGTATGGAATTACCCCATAGCAGTAGGGCCCTAAGGTCTCTTTTTCTGAGAGGTAGGACAGTATGGCTCTAACTCTGATGCTTTTACCACTACTCTCAAACATAGCCTCTTTTTCAGTCTCCCAGCAGCTATAATAGAGGTGACCCTTCCCTCCCATTGGATTGACAGGTCCTCTGGTGGTGGTCCTTTTTCTCTACTGATGCACATTGTCCACAGAGTGGTTCAGTAATTCAGAAGGTTACATGCACATTACCTCCATAAGGTTAATCATATGGAGTCTTGAAATTTCCTTACTGCGGCCTTAGCTTTTGAAGTGGACTTAACATTAAAAAAAACACAAGCCAAGGAAATGGATTTGGAAAAGAAATAATGTAAAATTCATGCAAAGCAGAAAGATCTTTTCTACTAGTGGGCGTTCTGTAGGCATGTGTCTGTATATTTTGTAGTGATGTAGGGAATCCCTTCCCATGACACTCATTACACTTGTTTCCAAAATATCAGATAAGAATATATTTACATATTTAAGCACCCCCAAATTTAAGGGTTGCTACAAACTGCATAGAAAGAAAGACCAGAAAAAAGAAACTGGAAAATTCATGAATTATAAGTACAAAACAATATCCCTTCTACTTGTGATCTTATTTTGACCCTTGATGACTCTTTCTCACTTACGATTTTTATAGAAATGATTCGTTCTGCCACCCCGTTCCCCCTGGTGAGTCTCTTTTTCATGTTTATTGGATTCATCTTGAGCAACATTGGGCATATCAGGCCACATAGAACCATCTTGGCTTTCGTGTCTGGAATCTTCTTTATTTTGTCTGGTGAGTTTTAAGATGGCATATCTCCCTCCCTCCCCCCTCGCTCTCCCTCTCTTTCTCTCGCCCCTCCCTCCCTCTCTTTCTCCCTCCCTCCCTCCCCTCTCTTTCTCTTTTCAAAACAACCTTTGTTGGAAAGTACATTTGAATTCAATCCCTTGGAGCAGGTGTCTGAGAAGTGAGATAGAATAGGCAACAATTTGGGAATATTAGCATATGTGGAATTTAGCTTTTCCTTGTACTGTGACATGACAGTGTGCCTCTCTTCACTGGAACAGGGTGCCATAGTTGTGCAGTTGCTTAATTGCTAGTTTTTCTTTGAGTATGTTATGCTATCTGTAAAACGCAGACCCTGGTCGCCTCAGTGATCTAGCCACAACTGAATGTTACCTTATTTTATTTGAAATAGAAACTTTTTCCATTATTGTAATTTATTGTTTTTTTGTAGAATTCTGGTCAGTGACAGTAATAATTTTTTTTAAAGTTGACATTAGATGATTTTGAGGTGGAGGCTATTTCTTACTTATACTGCCACACAAGATTGTAAGAATAAAACAAAGACAGTTTTAGGATTATAGTCATTGTGAATTACTTGGAGGAAGAGTGGAAAAGAAACAGAATCAATCAACCAAATCCTTTCAACGCCAGATATTATAGTTAATTATAAGAATACCCCCAAAACAGAAGAAGATGGGAGTCAGACAAACTCCATGATAGCAACCTGATAAAAATGTCCTATTTATTTAAGTTTGCTCCTTTGAAAGTGTTTAAATTTTGCATGTAAACAGATTAGATAATTTTTGTTCCTGAGTGATATATCATTCACATAGTCACTAAATGAGACTCTTTTTCATAAGGGCCAAAGTCTATTACAAGGATGCATAACAATGGACGTCGAATATAAAATAAATATAACCAAACCAGATAAAAGAAACTGTGAAGCTAAAATTTCCATTAAATTGGATGTTTCCGTGATACTTTAGAAATACTCTGTCACAGTTTTGCCTTATTCTTGCAATAGCCGATAATGAGACATCCTGTACGACATTACAATGTTGTATTATTTAAAAAACAATAACATATTTCTGATAAAATTGCTTTTGAGTATATTTCAACTGAAATATTTGAAATAGAGATCTAAATTCATAAGGCAAAATAAAATACAATATGGAAGATTATTTAGCTTAGCAATATCAAGGAGATATATTAATAATACAGTATAGAGTGGTGCAGTGGCCTAGAGGTGGTGTTCTCACCTCACAATCAGGAGGTTGTGAGTTCAATCCTAGGTAGTGGCAGGTATTTCTCTCTCTGGGCACAATGAGTAAATATCAGCTGCAAACTCTGCATTGGCGACAGGAAGGGCCAGTAAACACTCTCCCAGCTCCATTCAGTTGCCCCCACTCCACCCCGATGCAAGGGATTACGGAGTCATTAAAAGACAAAAAAAATTATAAAGAAAAATATAAAGAGACATTTTATTTATGTACTTACAGGGCAGATTATAAAGGAAATTCTTAAAGCAAAAAATCAGCAATAAAAGCCTATAGTTTGCTCACAGTTGCAATCTTGGTTACATTTCAGTTCCATGTAGCTCTAGACAAACTTTCTTTGATCTATGACATAATGGTGAATGGAATTAATGTACGAGGCTTGAACGAAAAAGATTTCTAGAAACGTGTCTCCATCTGAGAGGGAAAGCCCATATTTTATTCATAGCATTAACAGAGTATTAAACAAGCAACTGTAGCTGCAGAGCTTAAAAGCTTTTACTTACAGTCCCCAATCTACAAGTAGATCAGAAGAAGAGTATAAGAATTTAAGTCTGTTGCTTAATTCAGCACTAAATACTCATTTCTCAGTAACCACAGATGCAACTTTGGCCTAATGCCTCTTCCCTATCCACACTTGCAAATGCAGTGCCACCTTAAAACAAACTGGGAAATCTATGGTCTTTAGATATTTTTAGACTTTAATTCCTGTTCACACCCAGGAGTAGAGATGAGTCCTACAACATATTTCTTTAATTTTGTGTCCATGGTAAGTGTGGACTTCACTTCTCTTAACCCCCAGTCCCAGGATGGTCATCTGGAAGGTGATTTCCAATAATTCTACAGTGTTTGCCTATCTTGTCTATTTCTAGTTATGTGGACTTCAAATCCCGCAGCCAGCATAGTCCTCGGTGAGAATTCTGGGACTTGAAGTCCACACACCTGGTATTGCTGTGGTGATGATGCACTATTCTAGTAGGAAACAGAATGAGGAGGATTCTCCTATAGCAATTGGAGAGATCATGTGTTTTCTATGCTTCTCCTAAAGCAAGCTGAAGGTTGCTTTGATTCTCTGCAGTAGGTTGTTTTGTTTTGTTTTTTGTATATTTTGACCAAAACCTTTTGCTTCCCAGGTTTATCTCTGGTGGTGGGGCTCGTATTATACATCTCCACCATCAATGATGAAATGCTCAATAGAACCAAGGATTCGGAGACATACTTCACTTACAAATATGGCTGGTCATTTGGTTTTTCTGCCATTTCTTTCCTCCTAACTGAGGTAAGAGGAGCACATTGGACACACTATGGGAAGTACATATTGTTGTCACCTGATGAGAAACTCGGTAACATAAGTTTGCTATATTTTTTGTATATTTATTTAGGAGCAAAGAGGGCAAGAAGGGGCCAAGAGGACTGGCAATGCCCTTGTATTCCATGGCAATCATATTTTTTGATTGCTGTTCCTTTAAATTAATAACAAAATCATTTCATCAGAGCAGTCTTCCCCCATCTGAGCACCTTGATGTCCTTATCTGACCATCAAGTTCCCATAATTTTCAGCAACAGCCATACTAGCTGGAGAATTCTAGTATTGGAGATTACATGTCAGAGGTCTGCCATTTATAATAGATAAAAGAGTTAAATCTTTGACTCTTAACATTAGTGTAACTCAGGCCAATTTAGACTCCAGACTTTTAATAGCTGTGGAAACCATTTTGATTATAGCAACAGAGGTTTTTTTTTCCTTGCTTCAAAATAAGGTAAATTAGCTTTACTGCTGGATTTTTTTTCTCCCTTCCACACAGTATGCAACAGAATCGTACCCTATCATTATGATCTCATTAACATCAGAATCAAAATTGTGAAGTTCATACATGTGCCACACTGTGAAATATTTTTAGAAATTTATTTTGAACTCTAATGAATGCTCAGTCCATTTAGGCATATCACAGCCCTGTCTTAAATGTCTGTTCAGTTTTCTGCTTATAACAGGTTCCTCCCAGTTCCAAAGCATATTTTCAATACACATTTGTGATCTATACTGGAAAAACATTTGAAAACGATACTAGAGAAAAACCATTTTCTCCGAGTGAAACTTGTAGAACAAGAGGGATCAGGCAATAGACAAATCAGTAAATTGAGCTAAAGTAACAAATTGTTCTATACTGCCAGGAATTAATTAAATTGTGCCCAATTCCTGTATTTCTCTGTTAAGTTGACATAAACTCTATACCATCTAAGCAGTTTATCGTAGTTTTCCTGAACACCATGTTTTCTGGTCTTGATTACTTCAGCTTGATTCCTCTGTTAGAACAAGTGAGATTTTGTTCCCTTGTGGTTATCATTCAAAAGAAAGACAAGCTGGTAAAATATATTGGGCCTCTCTCTTATATGGAGAACAGTTGCTTGAGGAATCTTCTTTTGAAGGTGTAGCTCATAATCCTATGCTGCCTAAAAGGGGTTGAGAGAAATTACAGAATTTTGAATGCAATCAGGAAAAGATAGTTTCCAAGAATATTACTCATATAAGAAAAAAAGAAGAACAAATAAATTATTCTGTCTTCTCGAAATTGGATTCCTATTAAAGTGTTTCCCCTCTAAGCTATCCAGTGAGGTTACTGTGATTCTCAGCTACCCCCAAAAGCCTTGAATTAGAAGCCCCCCCCATCACAGGTTTCAAAATTGCTTATTGATTTAGAAAAATATTCCCGCAAAGGAATATTTTTGTCAGACAAAAGTGTGGACCAGTGTGACAGTGATTGATGGCTTTTCTGTCAATAGCAAATGAATTGGTACTTGATGTTATATTTTAACCACAAAGTAGTTCGACCAGCAAAAATTTCCCACATATCTGCTCCTTTCAGTGAGAAGAGTTCTAATCACGGCAGATTGTGAGAAATGGCGCTGTTGATGCCGAAAGCTGCATGTTTCATTGCAATGGCTGCCTTGTTCACTTGGATCAATAGCGCATTGCATCCTATCCTTCCACCAGAAGTGCCAATCAAGTGTCAAGGCATTGCTTTAATTCTCTCTTTTCTCTCTCTCTCTCTCTCTCTCTCTCTCTCTCTTCCAGAGTGCAGGTGTCATGTCTGTTTACCTGTTCATGAAAAGGTACACTGCTGAAGAAATGTACCGGCCACACTCTGGCTTCTACCGACCCCGTCTTAGCAACTGCTCAGATTACTCAGGCCAGTTCCTTCACCCCGAGGCATGGGTCCGGGGACGCAGCCCTTCTGACATCTCCAGCGATGCCTCCCTCCAAATGAACAGTAATTACCCGGCTCTGCTTAAATGTCCTGATTATGACCAGTTGTCCTCTTCCCCGTGCTGAAGGACGACACCCCCTCTTGCTTTTTAGGGAACAAAATGACAACGGAGGCCGTGGGTCCTGAATCTGCACTTTTCTTTTTCCAATGAATGATATTCTTCTTACTTAGAAATGGAGAAGGGTTTCCCTTCCCATCCCAGCAATGCGTGTAGGAGTAGTCAATGAACTCTAGTGAGGCCTTTGATCCTGCACTTGATCCTTATGATGTCAGATCCTTGGAGCCCGAGATACACAATAGCTCGGGCAAAGAAACCCTACCCACTGTGAAAATCTGGATATTGGAAAGATGATTGGGCAAGGGGATTCTCTTGGTTCGCAGGCTTTTAGCAGAAATGTATTATCACCCTAAGGAACAGATGATAATGCCTAGTGAATTTAGAAATTCACATCATTACTTACCGGTAGCTCCTTTTTTATATATATAAAATTAGTAGCTCGTTAACAGGTAATTCATAGTCTAAGCTAAACGTGTATTTAGTTAAAAGCATTTCCTTTTTGCATATCATTATCCTAGAAGATTGAAGTGTTCACTGGGAAACACAATTAACTCTCATCAAGAACCACATTCTAATTTGGCAGCTTCTCAACTAGATCAAATCTTTTGTTTCTTGAAAAGCAACATCTTAACAATAAAGTGCCTGATGCTGTGTGAGTACAAACAAACTTCTCGTTTTCAAATCACCATAGCTTTATACTTCTAATAATAAGTTTATGGCAGATCAACAAAATGTTCTTATTCTGTTGTAAAAATGACTGAACAAGAGATCTGATGCCAAAGTGCAATTTAGCAGTGTGGGCTTCTCCATTGAGAGTGGAGACAGCAGCCAGCATGGGTAGTGCCCATCCAATCAGCTTCAAGGACTGAGCCTGCCAATGATTTTTAGTCCCGCCTTGTTGCCGGGCATGCCCAGCTTTTGGCTCAGTCCTTCAGCGCTGACTGGTGTGTGGGACTTTTCTCTGGCCAAAAATTCTTTTTTTCTGCCTTTAATATTGGTATTTTTTCGGGAAAATTGACTTGGTCTGTTTGACTTTGCCTTCGTGATTCGACTGGGACACTGACTGATTTATTCTGGCTGACTTGGACCGTCTGGACTTCGTATTTGTGAGTTTGAGTAAAGAACCAGGCCTAGCTAACAGCGATCTCTCCTGTCCCTGCTAAGGGCGTGGGGTTCTTTGCCCTCGATCTCCCCAAGGGAGGGCTTTTTGGGCATTTGATCTTCGGGGGACATTCTCTGCTATAGCGTTCCCCTGGCCCCTTCGCTTATTTCGCCTCCGCTAATTATCGGCCGTTTCGGGAGGCATTCCAGAGCGGCGCCCGCCATTTTGAATTTTAAAAACATTTTGCCGCCGTTGGGGGAGTGCTCTAGATTGGCGACTGCTTTCCTCCTCACTCTATTACTGCCGAAACGCTTCCTTTTGCAGCCGCTCGGCTCGGACTGCCTTAGTTACTGGCTGAGCGTGGCGGGCTGGATAATTCCTTTGAGGAGCTTCGCGCCCCCACCTCTGCTTACTAGCCGGCAGTTGCGGCCTGTTGGAATTTGACTCGTGGCCGCTCTACTCCGAACTTATTACTGGCGGCAAGATTGCAGCTGAGGAGCTTCGCGCCCCCCCCCCACCTCCCGTGCTGCAGGGCTTTGATCCGGAGGTTTGTTTACTTCAGCCCAGTGGAGCCTTACGCCCCCTTACTCTGTGCAGCCGTTATCGTTAGCTGCTGGCTATTAAAATTTTGTGGAGCTTCACGCCCCCACCAGAGTGCTCCATTTACAACGGTCACAAGTCTGTGACTTATTTGTTTATTTATTTGATTGGTCTTGCCTCCTTCAACATTTCAAAGGCCTGCCTCCTCCCCCCCCCCACTACCACCATAATTCCAGTTCGTGGAGTTTTTCGCTCCCAACTTAGTTGATCTGGCCTTAATTGGTATCGATAAGTGTTATTTATTTGAAAATTCCTTCTGTGGAGTTCCTCTCGCTCCCCCAGCCAATTCAGAACCTGATTACTGACACATTAAATATAAACGGTGTGTGGGGGTGTTACTTCAATTTTATTGTTGCCATGCCTAAGGCTCTTTCTAAGTCCAAGCACGGCCGGAAGGCCAGTGCACGTGAGGTTGGCCAATCAGACTCCATGTCTGCTACCCAGCAATCTCCCATGGAAGATTCTAGGCCTCGGTCCAGATCCTCTCAACCCTCTCGTTCTCATCACAAGTCTTCCTCTCGTGACCTGTCATCCTCTTCTTCCAAAGCGGAACAACGTAGAGACAAAGTTTTGACCAGATTATGTGACAAGGCATGTGCCCAGTTGCCTCCCCCCTCTCCTCAACCTGCCCCTTCTATTCCACCTCCAATCTCCGTTCCACATTCGCCTTCTCCTGACCAGCTATCTCTGCAAGATTGTCCAGTGACTATCTCTGAGGAAAATTTGTGGGGTGCTGACTCAGTGGCTCATCAACCGGTCCCTGATCCACCAACGACACAGACGGCTTCTTCATCTGACCCTGTGCCTGCCCCCGCTTTGGATTCAGTGGTCCCTCCAGATCAACTGCAACAAATGATTGAGGCGGCGGTTCAAAGGTCCTTGGCCGCCCGTTCAGGTCTGTCCAGTCGACAAGGGTCGGTAAGAGAGGCTTCCCCCTTTTCAGCGGGCCGCAGTGACGAAGGGTGTTCTCATTCAGTTCGCTCCACCTCTCCTACGTCTTCTCACTACAGTCATCCTTCTGCCTTTATCGACAAAGGAGATCCTGATTCTGACCTGTCGGAGGATGAGAATCTTCCCCGGATCAGCCAGCCTTCACGGGTCTTTTTCCTCAAGCCTTGTTCAAATCATTGCTTTTCAAGGCAGTTAACACAGCCCGTCTTTCCTCTCCAAACGCCGATCCGGTTCCCCCTTCATCTTCCTCTGGATGCTTGGACCCGATGTTCGCGGAACCAGCTAGACCTATAACATCCGTTCCTACTCCTCCTCTCTTTCTGGACGTAGTGAAACGACAGTGGGAATCCCCGGCATCTGCTCCCCTACCTTCATCTACTGACAAGAGAAACTTTCAGGTCTCCTCGGATCTCGAGGCTCTTCTTCAAATCCCTTCGGTGGATGCCCCAGTAGCCGCTCTTCTTCCTAACTCCAATGTTCGGGTGAGCCGGACGAAGGTCTTCGACCTGATGAACGCAGATCTGATCAGGTTCTCCAAAAGGCCTTTCTAAGTTCCTCCTGGGCGATTAAAGCAACCACTACGGCTTCCTTCTTTAATCGGACAACGTTGCTTTGGTTGCGTCAGTTACAAGAGAAGCTAACCCCCGGGGATACTCGTATCAAGCAAGACCTGAATAAAATTGTGGCTGCTCTTCAATTTTCAGCTGACTCTACTCTAAATGCTGCCAAGTTCTCCGCAAAATCTTTAGCTTCGACAGTCACGGCTCGTCGTTTGTTGTACCTCCGTCACTGGCAGGCAGATGCCAGACACAAGTGGCGATTGGCTTCGGTTCCCTTTAAAGGCACGAAGCTTTTTGGGGACGCCTTAGATCCTTTTCTCACAGAAACCAGGGACAAAAAGAAGGTGTTAGCAGCTGCCTTCCGGAGAGGACCGCCCCGTTTCTCACCTTTCCCTCCTCGTTCTTACTCCAGAGGTGCGGATGGGGGGTCCTCCTCTTCTTCTCCTTTTCCTTCATTTAGGAGAGAGGGGTCTTTCAGCAGATTGCGGGGTTCTTCCGACAGGTCCTTTAGAGGGCGCCCCTTTAACTTTAAGCGGCCCTTTCGAGGGGGAGGAGGTCGTTTCACCCGTCGCCGTCGCTGACTGCCTTCTGGATCCTCCCATTGGCGGTAGATTGGGTCTTTTTGCCGCTATCTGGGAAGAATCCACTTCGGACAAGTGGGTCCAGGCCACCTTAAGGTCCGGGTTGGCCATTGAATTTATTGCGCCCCCTCCTCGCACTTTTGTTTGCTGTCCGATTTCTCGTAATCCTGTCAGGAGGTCCCTTATGGATTCATCGGTTCAGCATCTTCTGACTATCAGGGCTATTCAACCTGTACCTCCCGGTCAGGAGGGTTCGGGATTCTATTCAAGAGTGTTTCTAGTCCCAAAATCTTCAGGTGGGTGGCGCCCCATTCTGGACCTCAAACGTTTGAACAGATATGTGGTGTACCGAAAGTTTAAAATGCAGTCATTAAAGTCGATTCTCGATGGCGTTCGGAGGGGCGACCTCCTCTCTTCCATTGATCTAACTGAGGCCTACCTTCATATCCCTATCCTCCCATCCCATAGACAGTTTTTGAGGTTTTGTTATGACGGAGCACACTACCAATATAGGGCTCTCCCGTTTGGTCTCTCTTCTGCCCCTCGCACCTTTACGAAGGTACTGGCTGCCTTGGCGGCTCGACTCCGTCTACGTTCAGTTCGCCTCATGTGTTATTTAGATGATATTCTACTATTGTCTTCTTCTGTGCAGCAGGCTGCCTCGGATATTCGTTTGACAGTTGAGACGCTAGCGGCTCACGGCTTCTCCGTTAATTTGGAGAAGAGTCATCTCTCCCCCTCCACTAGATTAGTGCACTTGGGTGCCCTGATTGACTCTCTTCAGGGCAAAGTTTTTCTTTCTCCCGATAGGCAAGCTAGTCTGAGGCAGTTAATTTCCCAAGTTGAGTGGAGTCGGGTGGTTTCCCCCTATGTCTTGTCTCAACTCTTAGGTAAGATGATATCAGCGATAGCTATCGTTCCCTGGGCCCAGCTTCATGCCAGGGAACTACAATGGTTTCTCTTACCTTTGCAGAAGGCCGGCAGAGGCACTTCACTGAAGCCGATTCCACTCCCTCCTGCGGTACGAAGATCCCTCCGCTGGTGGCGCTCCCCTGCTCTCTCGGCGGGTTGCCTTTTCCTCGAACCTTCGAGGGTGGTTGTGACAACAGATGCCAGTCTTCAGGGCTGGGGGGCTCATTGCCAAGGTCAACTGGCTCAAGGGACTTGGACTGCCTCGGAAGCTCGACATCCCATCAATTGGCTGGAACTGAAGGCGGTGTTTCTAGCTCTAAGGGCATTCCACCATCTAGTCTCAGGTGCCCACGTCCTTGTTCTCACGGACAACGTCGCCGCAAAGGCACATTTGAACAAACTGGGGGGCACCAGATCGAAGTCTCTGCTGACCCTGGCAGTCGCGTTGGGAGCCTGGTCAGAGCGCCACCTGTGTTCACTTCGGGCGGAACACATCTCCGGGGTACAGAATGTTCAAGCAGACTGGTTGAGTCGACGGCAGATAGACAATGCAGAATGGCGTCTACTTCCGCTCCTCTTCCAAGAGCTGTCTCTTCGCTTCGGTCATCCAGTAATCGACCTATTCGCAACTCACGAAAACACTCAACTTCCGCTGTTTTTCTCCCGGTACCCACATCCTCGAGCGGCCGGCGTCGACGCCCTTCGAACTCCATGGCCGTCGGGCCTTCTGTACGCATTTCCCCCGACGGTTCTCCTTCCAGGGTCATCCGCAAGATTCTATCCGAGCGAGCGGAAGTGATCCTTGTAGCTCCTCATTGGCCTCGGAGACCCTGGTTTGCGGACCTCGTGTCACTATCGGTGACCCCATCGTGGCGCATTCCTCTCTCGGACGACATTCTCTTACAAGGCACCCTGAAGCACCCAGACCCGGCTTGGCTCAATCTAACCGTTTGGAGGTTGAGCGGTGCACTTTGAGAGAGGTACAAATCCCGGCGGATGTAGTACATACCTTACTTTCCTCCCGACGTCCTTCTACGGAACGCATTTACTCTGCCACCTGGCGGAACTTCTGTACCTGGTGTAATCAGGCCGATGTCAGTCCTCTTCACCCGTCTATCATTCATATCCTGATGTTT